AGATAGATAGATAGATAGATAGATAGATAGATAGATAGATAGATAGATAGATATAAACAGACAGACAGAGAGAGAAAGAGAAAGACAGAGAAAGATAGCTGTAGATAGATATAAATAAACATCAAGATAGATAGGTAGACAGACAAATAGGTAGATGATAGGTAGGTAGGTAGGTAGGTAGGTAGGTAGGTAGATAGATAGATAGATAGATAGATGTAGAGAGAGAGATATATAAACAGACAGACAGACATAGTGAGAGAAAGAGAAAGACAGAAAGATAACTGTAGATATAGAGATAGATGGCAGACAAATATAGAGATAGGTAGGTAGGTAGGTAGGTAGGTAGAAACACACACACAGAAAGACAGATAGAGATAGAAATAGAAATAGGTAGGTAGATGATAGATAGATATAGATAGATAATAGACAGAGATAGATTGATAGATGAAAGAGATAGAAAAAGATAGATAGATAGATAGATAGATAGATAGATAGATAGATAGATAGATAGATAGATAATAGATAGATGAAAGAGATAAATGATAGTTAAAGAGAAAGATAGATAGGGAGAGAGGATGGATGGATGAATAGAAAAATGTTATAGATATTAATATAGATATACACAATTATAATATAAATGCATAAATATATCACATTTTTTACTGGGTTTGTCTGGACGTTCCATTTCTTTTTGGCGTATCTCTGGGCTGTTTATTGCAAAAGCCACGTAATGTGACGTTGTATCCGTCCGTATCTCAAACCCTTTTCTTCCATTGGAAAGCGCGAGAACATCAAGTAGCTAGGTAGCCTTTATGGTTGCATACCTGGGCTTAAGGATGCGGGGACAATGTTTGTAGAAAACTCAGAAGACAGGAAGTTTCTTTTATGCTTTCTTCAAAACCCACGTGGATGTTTTACTTTAGCTCCCAGCATTTAATTTCATGTTCTCTAGAGTTGTTTCTTTTGGGGTGGGTGCCTCAGAAGGTGTGTTTTTTCCTCTCTTTTCTTAATTTATTTGGATGATGGTGATGGTGACCATCAAAGGAAACATCTTCCAATCTCAGGCCTCTGGGAAGTACTCGATAGTTCAATTAAAATGGCAATCCAGTCTAAACTTCTGCCCAACTGTGCAACTTAATCATAATAAGGCTAATGGCTTTCTGAGAGTGCTTTTTAAGATACAAACAAGTGACTTTCCCCAATAATGATTACTCTTGTAAGTATTCAAATGCAACATATTTATTCAGTAAGTTTATATGGCCTCCCCCATCTCGCTTTGCGTGATTCTGGGCAGAGTTACAAGAATTAAAACAGTATCAGCAACGATGAACACAATGCAATGCAAACAAATAAACAGAAAACAAGATTGCAGGAGATTTGAGTAGGAAATGCCAAACGCTGATAGATCCTTCCGTCTGTCAGCCAACCAACCATCAACAGGAATGGGAAGGTCTTGTACAGTCATGTCAGCCATGATGGTTCAATCCAAATTCGAGGCCCGGTGTGAGTAACTATGGCAACTTCTGTGGATTTCAACTCCCAGAATTCCCTCCCAGAATTGCCTACCCTTGCTCTAGTCTAGGCCATATGCTTTTATATGGCTCCTTATGTAAAGGATACTTACATATCCTTCTTTCGAAGAACTTTAATGCTGGCTGGGGAATTCTGGGAGTGTTGAAGTCTACCCATCTTAAAGCCTGCTGGCTGGGGAATTCTGGGAATTGAAGTCCCACCTCAAAGCCTGCTGGCTGGGGAATTCTGGGAGTGGGAGTCCATCCAACTTAAAGCATGCTGGCTGGGGATTCTGGGAGTGGAAGTCCCACCCATCTTAAAGACTGCTGAATGGGGAATTCTGGGAGTTGAAGTCCCACCCATCTCAAAGCATGCTGGCTGGGTAATTTTGGAAGTCCACCCATCTTAAAACAAACTGGCTGGGGAATTCTGGGAGTTGAAGTCCCACCCATCTTAAAACAAACTGGCTGGGGAATTCTGGGAGTGGAAATCCCACCCATCTCAAAGCCTGCTGGCTGGGGAATTCTGGGAATTGAAGTCCCACCCACCTCAAAGCCTGCTGGCTGGGGAATTCTGGGAGTGGGAGTCCATTCAACTTAAAGCATTCCGGCTGGGGATTCTGGGAGTTGAAATCCACCCATGCATTGGTATTAAATATCTGCCTGACTTTTATTTCCTTTTTTACAACGACAGCTGAGTGTTACATTTTAGAAATTAACGCAGTCCTAGGCTGCATTATCAGAGGGATAGAATCAAGATCGCGTGAAGGTGTCAATATCGCTTTATAAGGCCTTGGTAAGGCCACATTTGGAATCCTGCATCCAATTTTGGTCACCACACTATAAAAAAGATGTTGAGACTCTAGAAAGAGTGCAGAGAAGAGCAACAAAGAGGATTAGGGGACTGGAGGATAAAACATACAAAGAACGGTTGAAGGAATTGGGTATGTCTACTTTAATAAAAGAACTAGGACAGTGATCTAGGACCTTGTGGCCCCCGAGTGCCCAAAGCGCGCACACATGCGTGCATACCCAAAATGCAAGACACATCCCTCCAGCATGTGTGCGCCACCCTCGTGCACACATGCCCCCCCAGGCATGCGCCTCACCCCCATGCATGCATGGCAGAGACCCGTGGGAGGCATGCGCGCATGTGTGGTGGTGGAGCTGAGCTGGAGCGACGGCATGCATGCCCACATAGAGGGCTCTGTGTGCCACCTGTGGCTCGCATGCCATAGGCTCGCCACCACAGGACTCAGGGTTACATGATAGCCGTAGTCCAGTATTTGAGGGACAGCCCCAAAGAAGGGGGCGAGTCAGCCTACACTCCAAAGCAGTGGTCCCCAACCACTGGGCCCCAGATCGGTACCGGTCCGTGGATCATTTTTTACCGGGCCGCAAAGAAGTGGGCGCCGCCATCTTGTTTCGACGGCGCTTGAGAAAGTGCTTCCGGATGAGCTTGTCAGTCGTCGGTTGGAAAGCGGCGTTTGGGCGCTGAAGGAATCCTCGTGCCTTAGTTTCGTCGGGGGGGGAGGGGCGGCTTCGAACGAAGAGCCGTCCCGGTGGCGGTGGAGTCTCGCGTTACGAGGAGATTAAGAAAGAGCCCGAAAAGCCCATCGACAAAGGTACAAAGGAGGAGTTGAAGGTGGCGGGGAGAAGCGGGGGACGGCTGGCTGGCCGGTCGCTCAGCTCCCCTTGCCTTGGTCGCGCGTGCTGATGCCGGTACCGGTCCGTGGATCATTTTGTGATGCCGGTACCGGGCCGTGGGACAAAAAAGGTTGGGGGCCACTGCTCCAAAGGATCCGAAAGCAGGACAAGAAGCAATGGATGGAAGTCCATCAAGAAGAGAGGCAACCTGGAACTAAGGAATAATTTCCTGAAAGTGAGAGGAATTAACCAGTGGAACAACTTGCCCTCCAGAAGTTGTAAATGCTCCAACACCGGACATTTTTTAAAAAAAGGTTGGATAACCATTTGTCTGAAACGGTATAGAGCAGAGGTGGCTAATCTTTTGGGGCTCCTGTGCCCAAAATTGCGCGCGCACTTGCGTGCCAGCCCCCAGAAGGCAACGGTGCAACCCCCCACGCCCCCTACGCATGCGCGCGCAATCCCCACCCACCTCCGCCACCCCCTTCACTGCACCTCACAGCTCATTTTCAGCGGGTTTGAGGCCTTTTTTCAGCCTCCCAGAGGCTTGAGGAAGGCTTCTGCAGGCTTTGCAGGGCCGAAAACGAGCCCCATTTGGTCACTTCCGGTATTTTCGGAAAAAGAGGGCCTAGTTTTCGGCCTGCAGAAGCCTTCCTCAAACCTTTGGGAGGCTGAAAAAGGCCTCAAGCCGGCCGAAAATCAGCTGTGAGGTGTGCGCACATGCTCAGTGAGGTAAGTTTGCCTGCAGCTCACATGCCGGCACAAATGGCTCCGGTTCGCCATCGCGGGTTATAGAGTTTCCTGCTTGAGCATGGGGTTGGACTAGAAGACCTCCGAGGTCCCTTCCAACTCCGTTAACCTCTTACTTTACTAATCTAGCCCTCCCGTCTCTTTCCTTCTAACTGGATGGGGCCCATGCCCTCCCTTGCCTTCCTTCGGGGTTGCATTTCTGGCCGCTTTTGGGGTTTGACTTTCTGCAACCCCTTCGGCTGCCAACCACGCCATTCATTATTGATCAGGAGCGGAGAAACGTTTGAGGGCGGCTGGCAGCAAAAATGGTTTATGATTTGCTGCCCGCGATGATTAATAAGCAGCCCAGCCCGAACACTCCAGCCGTCGCCTGCAAGCTAAGCTGGTTTCTTGATAAACAGGTTTTCGGGCCCCTCCAACGAAGCCTCTTCTGTCTTCCCAAGCAGAGCGTCAATTATTAAAAGGCACGAGAAATTCTTAACTCATCGGGGGGGCCTGCTAGGCCTTGCAAATATCTCAGCTGAGGAAGATGGAAGATGGGAAGCTTAATAAAGTACCGGTTGGGCTTTAATCTCCCCGCTTGTGTCTTCCCGCCCGCGATGATTAATTTTATTTCCATCATCAGTGTCTGAAACAGCGGCGGCGGCGGCTCTCCTGTTCAATTGTGAATGGGTTTTCTCATCTTCTTGCACACTTTCCTTTTACTTTGGGGCTATTTAATTCTGGGCCCCGAGTCGTGGTGCGGTGGCCTAGAGGTGAGGGCTCTCGCCTCACCATCAGGAGGCGGTGAGTTCGATCCTAGGTCGAGGCAGATCTATTTCTCTTCTCTGGACGCACTTGAGAAAAGATCTGTGTGTGGGGGGGGAGCGGGAGACTCAGCACTGGTGACAGGAAGGGC